CACCGCGCTCTACTTCCAGCAGCTCCGGCGCCTCGTCCTCTTCAAAGGCCCCAAGTACTTCGTGGTGAGCGAGGAGCCCCTCAGTGTGGAGCCCTACTACCCCCGCAGCCTGCGGGACTGGGAGGGCTTGCCCCCCGGCACAACGGGCGCCCTCGCCCACCGTGACGGCTTCGTCTACTTCTTTCGGGACGACCAGTACTGGCAATTCGACCGGGCGAAGCTACGAGTGGTGGCCACTGGCAAATGGGCTTCCCAGTTACCCTGGATGGGCTGCACGGTGGGCAGGACCTCTTCTGAACGGAGAGTGCTGGGATGAAATGGGGGGTGGGTGAACCCCACCTTGCTTCGTCGCTGCCTGGATCCCTCTTTATTTGACTCTGGGCTCCCATCCAGGGAGGGCCGGGGAGGGCCAGGGTCGGTGGAGCGATTCCCCAGCAGGGCAGGGATGCAGCTGGGACGTCAGCCCGGGCAGTTCTGCTGAGCTGGAGTCTTTGGGAGGTGATACTTTTTTTTTAAAAGAGCACAAAAAACAAGGTATAAGCCATGGAGACTGCAAACACCCCTGTGTCTCACATTCAGGATGTTGTTACATATTTTTATTTTTTTTTCAAACTGGGACTGGGGTTTGTTGATACTTCAGGAGTCTTTCTCCTGTCATCAGGCAGGGAGGTGCCTCGCCGTGACTTGCTTTGGGGTTTGGGTGGTTTTACGGTGTCTCCTGGTTCAAACAAAAAGAGACAAGACATTTGGACAAAAATACATTGAGTTTTGCCCCTGCTGCACGTGCAGAGGCCCCTCTCCTGCCTCCTCCTCCTCTCCCTTGCCTCGCAGGGTTGGCACCTCCGGCTGGAGCCTGTCTGCTTTGCTGGGCTGGGTCCACATCCCAGCTGGAGACACCAGCACTGCAGAGTCTTGGGGGAAAAAGCAGAGGGTTTAGGTGTTAGGAGCCTCTTTGGGATGAAGAGAGCGGGGAGACCCAGCTGAGCTGCTGATCGTGTCGCTGTGGGACGGTGCTGGGCAGCTGGAGGGTGGCAGGAGCGTTGCAGCCTGGCTTTCTGATGGCGTTGGGGTGGCTGGGTGGTTTCTCGGGTGTCTAACAAGGGTTGTGCTCGCCTGGCAGCCTCTCTTGTGTGCAGAAAAAGCGTCTGTCCTCTGCTCTGTCTCTGCAAGAGATGGGGCCAATGTATTTTTTGAGCCCACAGTTGGATGAGTGGGGGTAGAAACTGGGGGAAGAGAGGGAGAGGAGAGGGCGAGCAGGACAGACAGACATGTCTGTGCATGCAGGTTCATGAGGACAGCTCGGCCACATATTCCTCATTCCTTTCCCAAAGCAGGCTCCCCACCTGGAAACGCTGCTGGGCACGGCTGACCCGGGCCGGCGTCTCCCATCGCCCGTGGGGGAGCGGCCCGGCGGCTCCCATCGCCCGGGGGGCAGCGGCGGGTCCCTGAGGCTCGAGTGCGGTGGCAGCAAATGCCAGCCCTGGGTGCTCACTGGGACGGGGCTCAGCTCGCTTAAAATGTCCTTTGATTTGAGTGATTTGGGATATTTTCACTGTGCTGGGGTTGCACATGGGTGGGCTGCTGCTTCGCTGGTGGCTCTCTCAGGACTCGGACCCCTGCTTAGGGTCGGTGTCTTTGGCACTGGGCTGTGGCTGATCCTGCCGCACCGAGAACCACCACAAGTTGTTTTGTCCATTTTCTGCGTTGTTTCTGTCCATTTTCTGTGGTGTTTATGAGTGAGCCCTTCCTGCACAGACACGGGGACTTGATCTCCTCACGGCTTTAAATCTCAGGGGGCTTTCAGTGTTGCCAAAGAGACGGAGCTGCATCGTTTTTTATTTTGAATCGAATGATAATAAGGCGACATTGCTTCCAGGGAGTCCCAAGGGCTTGGAGACCTGATGTCAAATAAAACAAGCCTCTGGATATGCGCTGTTGGGTTTTCTGTTTGCTTTCATGTCACGCTTTTGTATTTTTTTTAAGCCCGATCTCCCGTTTCCTGAAAGGGCTGTATTTAAGATGCATGTGTGTGTGTTTGGGGCTGGAGTGGGTATTGCTGTTGGCCTCAGCTTTCCTGCTTGCTGGATCAAATGAGGGGAATGGAGCCCACCAAAAACTCACTGAACTAAAAACGGAAACTATTCCCTACTTCGTCTTAAGTTAGGGAGGATTTTGTCACATCTTGTTCTGTGCTAATAGTGAATTCACGCTGATGGAGCCCACCAAAAACTCACTGAACTAAAAATGGAAACTCTTCCCTACTTCGTCTTCAGTTTTGTCACATCTTGTTCTGTGCTAATAGTTTGTTGTGATTTTTTTCCTGGGTGAATTCACGCGGCTGGGGGCCCTCCAGGTCTCCCCCTCCAGCCCCTTGCAGTGTGCGAAGGTGGGTCCTCGCCTCCCACGGGACTGGTAGCACCCTGAACCCTTCCGTGCTGCTCCTGTTTGCTTTGCTTCGTGCCGTGACATGCCGGGACGTCCCGCCTGCAAGGTGCAGAACCCGCTGGTGTCGCAATGTTTGCAGAGATCAGTCCTGCCTCCGTCCCCGCTCTCATCTCCTGACTGGAGCCACCCTCCCACCTCCAGCCCCCTCAGCTGCCACCGGCCGTGGGGTCTGCAGGATGACGGGGTGAGGCGTGGAGGTCATGGGGAGATGGGTGGGGGTGACAGGGAGATGGGTACTCTGCGCCTGAAACTCTTCAGAGAAGCAGCCGAGCGTTGTCCCCTTTGGTGTCCCCTTAGGAGAGAGCTGGGCGTCCCTTCTGCTGTGGCTCTGGAGGCTGAGGACAGGACAACCCTGAATCCTCTCCTGTTTTGGGGGTTCCTTTTCCTCCTTGCTTGCCGCTGTGTGTTCCCCAGGGCTGTGTGCCTTGGCGTCATGCCTGATGCTGAGCACAGCGTTGCTGGCAGAGCGGAGGTGACTGTACCGCAACGTCCGCACCCTGCGAATTAGGGGGTCCCAGGGGAGGTGGGCCCACAGGCTGAGCTATGCAATCGGCCCCTCTGGGTGCTGTGGCTGAAAGTCCTACGTCACAAGGGTTCTCTTCTCCTCTGGGCATGCCAGGCGCAGACTCCTCCGGCCACACATTCCCCAGCCCTGGGGAATAGCTGGGATTCTTGGCTTTCCTTCCCCAGAACGACACCGGCTGATCCTGGCCATGATCTGCAGTGAGCAGCAGCAGCAGCTGGCTCTGAGGAGAAGACAGGGTCCCCTCACACAGCCCCCCAAGCTCGCGAGAGGCTCTGTTCCAGTTCCAAGGTGCAAGCATGTCCCCGGGAGATGTGCTGCTGGGGCAGCTCTGCAAGCCCTGCATTAAGGAGGGAGTCTGGGACATTCCCAGCGGTGCCCACTCACCCTGGTAGTTCTTAAAGCCCCAGCTCCCAGAGTCACACCAGCCTTGGGGGAGCTCAGCTTTTGCAGAAGACCTGACTGCCGTCAGCAATTTGGGAAGAAGTTTGCCAGACAGCGCAGTGCAGGGCAAAGGCATCCCAATAACCCAGCTCCCAGTTTATTGTATTTTATTTTCAGAAAGAGGTTTAGGGGGAGAGCATTGATGAGTTTGTGCTGTGATTTCCAGGTAGAGCTACTGCATTTCCTTGGAGCCAGGGCTGAGCCCTGACACATTGCACATTGTGGGGCTTCCCGAGGGCTGCCCCTTGCTCCATGTCTTGGAAAGCAAGTGGTGCCAGTGGTGTCTGTTTTTCCCCTCTACCTCCTGCAGCTCCTTCAGCCTCTTCCTCCTCTATCTCTCTGCTGGGACATTCCCAGGTCACACAGAAGCCCTGTGGGACAGTTGAGTGGAGGAGTTTGGGGGGTCTGACCACCGTCAAGACTAGATCTCTCTGAGGAATCTCTGCCCTGACCCCTATGGCTTTGGGAAGCCCTCACCTCAGGGTTTGGCTTTCCCCCTCCTGGGGCTGCTGGTGCCCCAGGTGCTCGTGGGGAGGGCAGGAGGGATGCAGAGCCGTTGGTCTGACCATCACCCCTATGACATGTTTAGAGGGCCTCACGCTGGAGCAGCGCGGAGCTCAGCCTCTCTCCATCCCTCTCTCAGCACCCCACCCAGGGAGGAGGGAGCCCTGCTCAGGGTCTCCTGTGCCGGGTCTCCCTCTCTTGTGTGGGCTTCTCCCCACGAGGTGTTTGGGCTTGCATGACATGTGGTGGCATCATGGCAGAGTGCCTGAGCTTGTAAAACGGGTGCCAGCCTGCCTCAGGGCCCTCAGGTTGAGGATGTGTCTGGGTTAATGGTTGGATGATGTTAGGTTAATGGTTGAACTCGATGGTCTTAAAGGTCTTTTCCAATGTAGGCAATTCTGTCATTCTGTGATCGTGTAGGCCCCCTGAGTCACCCCACCTGCAGTGGAGGTGGGCGCAGGAGTGGCAGGGAGGGTGCAAACCTCCCCTCTTTTGGGGTTGTGAGTGACTGGGATGCTGAAGAGCTGCTCTCTAACCTCCTCCTGCCCCCGTGCTGGGAACCTCCAGGGAAAATCCACCCCTGAGATGGCTGGAGAAGGAGCAGAGCTGCAGGTGCTCAAGGGTTAACAGGGAGTGTTTGCAGCCCTTCCCTTGTCACCAAGGAGAAGGGAACAGCACTTAGGGAGGAAACAAAACACCCACTGCCCAGGAGGATGATTTTCTTTCCCAAAACACCCCCAGAAAGGCTCTGGGCACCAGGAGAATCGCGTCTTCATCCCGGGTGGCACAGAGCAAGTGGCGCCGGGTGAGTGT